GAAAACACAGCCAATATTACATAAAACTGTAGCACTATGGATCTGGGTGCTAATTAAGCTAATACATTTATGGGCTCATTGATATAAGTCTGCATTGATCGATATAAGCAATTATATTGATATATCATTGTACCGGAGTGCATAACACCAGACTTATCACTAGAAAGCAAAATTACTTACTTTGACCATGTCACACAGGGGAATTCACTGGGAGAAAGCAATTATGTTTGAAAGAGTTAGCAGTAAAAGGACACCAGGCGTCAAAGAACATGGTGGCTGGACACTATCAAAGCTGACACCAGCCAGAGCATAGAAAAACTCAAAGTATTGCAAGATCTGAAGATGTGGAGAGACCTAGCCCATAGAATCACCAAGAATCGGATTTGACTGAATGGATCATCATCATCATGATATAAGTCTTATTAGCACTCAAAAAAGATTTGTACATGTTTTCTAGCAGTGTGGAAATATATATTGTCATTATGCATTTACATGTATGCAAACGAGAGAAAAAGTTTTCCACAAAAGGAAGTTTTACTTTTTTTATCCATTCCTGGACAGATCCTGTTATCTATTCCCAGATACTGTTTGTGGGTCTATGGTAAGGCAAAAGAGAATGGTAAGGCAAAAGAAAACAAACGGAAAAAAAGGATCCATGATTACTTTATTAAAAATATAAGGCAAGTGTCTAGACTGCACTAAAGAAACTTACAGACCTTATTTCTAACTCTGTACACTTATGATCAGTCTGTACACCATTCTGTTGTTTGTTTCTCTACTCCTTGAAGACATTTAAGGTGAATCAAACATAGCCAATTAATTTCTAAGATGTTATAGTTGCATTCAACTAAATCAATTCATGAGAGTCACTAAGAAAAAATCATTAAATTTTATATGCTGAATGTCTTGCTTTCAAGCTACATTGTCTTTATCTAATTTCCTGATCCAGCAGTACAAATTATTATATCTTTAACTCATCATAGCATCAATTTGTATTTTGCATCATTAGGACCCATATTCACATTGTTTCCCTATACCAGTGGTGGCGAACCTATGACACGCATGCCAGAGGCGGCAGAGCCCTCTCTGTGGGCACGCGCGCCGTCACCCCAGCCCCACATCCCCCCGCGGCCCCTCCTCACCAGCAGCCCCCGTGGAGGAGAATCACCCCTAGGCATGGCCCGTGCGGAGCAGCACAGCCAAGGACATGGCAGTCAGGCAGCAGGGACAAGACTCCGCCCTCGCACCCCGTCACACGATGATGCTTCAGGGTGCGGGCAGAGGGTGTGGCCATGGCACTGCCGCAAATCGGCCTGGCCGATTTGCGGCAGGCCGTGGAGTTGGTAGGTGGCCCTGCGGCCGGGTGGGGGTTGAGGCAGGGGAGTGGGGCAGTTTTTGGGCACCCGATGTCTAAAAGGTTCGCCATCACTGCCCTATACACACGCACCTACAGTATTTACATCATGCATGACAGTTTTCCTTAAGATATATGCTCTTACACATTCAGTTAAGGAATTCACAGTGGTTCTAAATGTTTTTCTTACAGTTATCACACCCTTTTATTACTTGAATTCAAGTAACTATAATTTGTTTTAAGACATTCCAAAGTGGAAAGGAGGTGAATCATCGACATGACAGAAATATTGGCAAAGATGAAAAAGCTCTGGTGCTATAGAATTTTTAACTGCATTTCTTATAATTCCTGCTTACCAACAATATAGACGCAAGTTAAAGATCCAAAATGGCATGGATTCCACAGTCTGTTCGAAGGGCTATATAAAATGGATTAATTACTTTATCTCCAATTAGGCATTAAAGATTCACATAACAGCTCCTAACTAGAATTATGGACATTAAACCTTCAGAGATATTCTAACATTAAACAAAGTAAACCAGTTTGAAATAAACTGTTTCTATAATGAATTGATGGAATTATTACTTGCAAATATAAGATTTAGACAAAGAAAAATGTTGTAACAGAATAGAAATATCCCTGCAATTAATAATCAACTTATGAACAATTTGTAATGTACAAAAGTTAAAATTTTCTCCTCTCAGATTTGTAATATACTGTAAAGTTATTTGTATTCTGAGATTTTAGGATGACATGTTCATTAAATTTAACATCAGATATAGATTAAAAACAAACAATTGCATTCTTCTAAATTTCTCTCATGTAGATCCCCTTTAATAGTTTTATTACGGTATGGTCCTTAAGACTGCAAAACTTTGGATTCAATTCTGAAAAGTTGTTTGAAGTATGTGGGTCATAAGCATAGCAACAGTTTTCAACTTTTTAACATGGCAGCATATTCCCTAGATCACAAGGCAGAGCAGCCATGAAATCCTGGAAAAACAATGCAGCTGCTTTAAAGCGTTTCAAACAGGTATTCCAGTCACATTCATATGCATTCCAAAGCACCTTTTTGGAACTGAACCTAAAAAACACTGATCAGCTCTAATAGCCATTATAATCAAAATACAAACAAAAATAAAATGTGCAAGACTATTTAAAAGGTTATTTTATACAGCCTATCTAATTTGGTTTTCACAATTATCCTGTAATTATTTATATTTTTATATTTAATAAAAAGTAATCGTAACAAAAGGTATTAGCTATACTATAGGAATGTCTTTGCACATTTATTAAAAAAATAAAATATCTTCTATGAGTTATTCTGTTGAACTTGCAAAGAATTGCTCATCAGATTTATTTATTTATAACCCACCTTTATTATTTTTACAAGTAACTCAAGGCAGCGAACATATACAACACACCTTCCTATTTTCCACACAACAATCCTGTGAGGTGGGTTGGCCTGAGAGAGGGATTGGCCCAAACCTATCTGATATTCATGGCTAAGGCAGGACTTAAACTCACAGTCTCCCACTTTCTAGCTTGGTGCCTCAACCAGTAGCATACTTAATTATCAAAAAAAAATTTCCAGAGAATTTTTTCACCAAACTTCAGAATGCTTAAAAATAAATTCCTTTAATTTAATGGCAATTATCACATATAAAGTTCATTTAAATCCCTGCATACTGACCTGTGATTAAATTTCAATGAAGCCCGTAAGATATAAACATTCTGAAGTTTACACAATTATTGCTTATTATGTACTTTAGTTCCATTTATTTCAGTTATACTACAAAGTGGCAATCTCAGTTTTCCCATCAAGTTTGATTCCTTGGACAATTATATTTAAAAGTCCATGTTTGCAAACGTATTAGTTGAAAAGTCACGTTTCATTGTGCACTGAAATTATCTTAGCTATATCCTTAAATCAGTGGTGGGATTCAGCCGGTTCGCACCACTTCGGCAGAACAGTAGCTAATTTTTTGTTGCCCAGGCCCAGAATGGACTTCCGGAAGAGGCATCCACACAGAGAACCAATTGTTCACATATTTGAATCCCACCACTGCCTTAAATGTAATTATACTACTAATTCTCATAGCATCCATATAACTGGCAAGTCAGTCTAATATTATTTTCTACTCCATATGTATATAAAACATAATATTTCCCTCAGATTTAGTGAGAATAATTTTCCAGGAATATAGGATTGCAAATTATTCCACCTTTTAAAAACTCAGTTATGTCAACTTCAGACAGGATAATAATACCCATGATTAAGTTTTCAAGTAAATTATTAAATAAATGCCTTACAAGTATATTTTCCTACAGATACTGTGATACATTTCTGCTTACTGTGGATTTTTGACATTTTTCTTATAGACTTTCAGAGTTTTATTTTCTAAGGACAAATATACATAGTCATCACTGATATAAATGTGTGATCCATTTGTTATTCTCAAGTTTGATATACAAAGCTTATAATATATTATACATTATAACAGCCAAAGGAAGACATAGATTCCTATATATTTAAAGCTCTTCCAGAACGATCCATTTTTTCTCATTCAAAAGAAAGCCCTGTTTAAATTCTAATTTTCTGCAGAAATGTTTTTTTAAGTTTAAAACCTGCACTTCATATTCAGACAGAAAACTCATTGCTCTATCATTTATATCTGTGCAAAACTGGAATTCAAAAATTTACTAAAATATTTATATATAAATTCTTCCTTTCTAATGAGGGAAAGTGGCTTATTGCCTTAGAGGGAATGTTGAAAGCTAGTGTCCTCCCCCCCCCCCCAATTTAGCACTAATAAAAAAAACAATGGATTATTTGGAAGCATTTCAGTTGCAATAGCATTTTACCGTTTTGTTGACTGAGAGATATTTCAAAGGGAAATTAAGCACCCTTATTCCACTGACCTTACTGGATAGTTAAAACTTATGGGAAATAAATGAGGCTCTTTTGGAAGTCAGCCAGAATAAAATTATACTTAAAAATAATCTGGATCAAAATTCTTGAACCTAAAAGCTAATCAGCAAGTACTGATTAATATTAACTACCATTGATAAGCATGTATCTTATGCAAGCCCTAAGTATAATTTTATTAGTTTTGACGTATCTTTGCGGATGTATGCATTTTTTTTTAAAAAAAGAGCTAGTTTTATATAAACATAAAGCAAGGATATCTAGCTGCCATGGATTTGACAATTAGTGAACATTATAACACGAGGTAAACTATCTAAAGAAAATAAGCCATCTGGGAAAAAAGTGTTTTAATATACAACTTTATACAATTGAGAGTTACTAAAATTTGAGAATTTCTTCCCTTGCTGCAGGGTTTAGTAGTTTATACACAATACATGTTTTAAGGAAAGCAGCAAATCCACCCTCATTTTTAACACTTTCATCTGTTTCTTGTTTGTTATCATTACAATTCTCTCCTGGGTCATGGAATGTGATGTAAAGTTAAATGCCACTTGACATGGCCATATCCCTGTAATTAGAAACCACTTTGTTTTGATAAGCACTCTCTCAGAAATGGGTTTCCATGTGGATTTGCCCCCTATTGCTTAGCACTAGACAAAGCATTTCAAGCACTACTGACAAAGGTAACCTAATAAAAATAGAACAGGCAGCACTTACCTTTATCCCTTGGTGCTGTGTGGTTAAGGTTAATTTGGATTCATCCAGAAGTAGAACTTCACAATAAAATTCCTCAGGCACTGCACAGAAGCAGCCCATGGCTGCTCCAGTGTCTTGATGTCAGAGTGCAAATGATAAAAAAAAGAGATGAATGTAACTTCAAGGGGGAAACCAAATAACTCCGTTCTGATAGGCAATTTTTTTATTTCTCTCAGGCCAAAGGTGGAGAAGAAAAGCAGGCTTGTCTTTTGTCTTCAACGCGTTACTAAAAAGGGTGGCTTACACCAAAGGTTAAATCTTCATCGGGCATCCTGCAAAAAGAAAAAAAAAAAAGGAAAAAAACCCAAATCCTTACCACCTTGTAAGTGAGGGGGGGGGAATTATATCTATACATTCATTGCCGAGCTGCAAAGAGCGAAATCAAAAGAATAAAGTTGTCAGAGGTAAATCCATTGCAAAGTTTTACACGCTCCTTTAGCCCTATGGGCTTCTTTGTTCACAGTTCAGCTCGAAGAATCCCTCGGCCTCTGAAGCACACGGGTGCCGGGGATAAATGGGGAGTGAGCAAGCTCCCTCTGGATCCCAACATAAGGCAAACCGCAAGAGAAGCAGGTCATCCTTCAAGGCCTACTAGGGGCCGAGCCTCCAGCGCAAAAAAGAACTTAAGAAAAGCATTCCGGCCGGGAAGCTCCAGTTCTTCCTCTGCTACACAACGCCGGGCGCTCCAGCGCAGCTCCTCCAAGCCGAGTCCCTGGGATTAATAATTACCCACGTTCCCCTCCCTTTCCCACCCTCCCTCGGGGATTGCTCTTTTGTACGGCGAGAGAAAAGGAAGGATCCGGGCAGAAGGGAAACCGCCCCGCCTTCAGCGCGCACACCCCCAACCTCCGCCTTTTCCTATCCAAAATCGGGGAATACGGGGGTTACCTGGAGGAGGGGGGGGGGAAGCCAAACCAAGCAGCTGCTCCTCCTCCTGCTGCTAGGGCGTGAAGAGGCGGGCTGGCAGGTACGGACCCCGTTCACCGCTGTGGCTAAAGCACAACCAGCTTGCGCTTTCTAGCCAGACGCAGCCCGTCTACTCGGACACACACGCCCTTCTCTCCGCGGCGCTGAAATCCGGGGAAGGCGGCGGCGGCGGCGGCAGAGACACACCGTATGGCTCTTATTGCCGTTTTTCTCCTGGCCTTTGTCCACGCCCCGCGAGTAGGGTATTCCCGTCGGGGAAACAGCCAAGAATTCAGGATTCCTCTCGTAGCCCAACTCTTGCCGGCAAAGTTCCCCCGCGAAAAGCGGAGCGAGCCCCAGGCGCAGCAGTCACAAAACGCCACCTGCCCCGGGGCGGCTCCAGTTGCTTAGTTTCTCTCCCGGCCGGAGGAGCTGAGCGTGCGAGATGTCAGCGCCGTCTCCTTGCCCGACCTTCTCTTCCTCCTCCTCGGATGAGGCTCGTCTTCTCGGTCCGCCTTTGCCAGCATGGCCCAGGAGGGTGCTGGGCGGACTTGCCGGTCGCTTTCCTGGCCCCAGCCCAGAGGCAGCCCGCGGCTCCCGCGCGCTCCCGTCAAGGCGAGCAACGCCTCCGCTCAAGCTGCCGGCGCGCCGCTTCCTTGGCGGCTGAGGAGTCGGACTTGCTCCCGGGAGGACTCTGCCTCTGACACCCCCTCCGCGGTGCCGGCTTGAGACTGGGCTGCCCAACCGGCGTTTTTGTCTCCCTCCGCCTTTTTTGCTCCCGCCAACCTTTCACCTTCCCTGCCTTAGCAGCGCCGGCAGGGGAGGAGGCGTTAACTGTGCAAGGACAGCAGTGACCCCTAGCGGGCGATTCCGCCAAGCCGGACTTGAACGTGAGGATTCAGACTTAGAGGGAACGAGCGGCAGCGTGAGATGAATAATCACTCCAGGAGAGGCTTAGCATGCAAACTATTTCATATGGAGACCGACGTCTCTCATCGAGAGCTGTCTTGGCAAAAGGAGAGAGGCATCATTTGCTGGCGACTGTTGCTTGCTTTTGATGGATGGGGAGGAACAGACTCAGGCTCAACCCGTCCAAGACCGAGTGGCTGTGGCTACCAGCGCCTCGGCATAGTCAACTGACGCCATCGCTGACTATAGGGGGCGAAACTTTGGCCCCCTCGGATCGGGTTCGCAACTTGGGCGTTCTCCTGGATTCACGGCTGACACTGGATGACCAGTTGGCGGCCGTGACCAGGG